AAAAGCATAGACTCCACTAACAGTGCCTGGCAAATCTGGCATTGGATCAGGCAGATTTGCATTTTCAGAAGTGCAGAAAATAAATGTTTAAGACTAGGAGGATCCCTTTACCAGGGGGAACTGAGCCAGGCTTCTCAGCTATACACACAATTTTAGCTCACTGCAAAATTGCCACTGCTCACCCTCCTTCCAGCAAGTAATGGGATAGCAGAGGCTGCTGTTATGGATTCCAGGTGAAAAATAAGCAGAAGCAGCATGACAGGGCTTTAATCACATCTATATGAGATGTGATTTTTTCCTCCTTGCCAGATGTACTTTTTTTTTTTATATACACAGACGTTAACGCTCATGGAACCGTATTTGATCAGCCTTAATTTTCAGGCTCGATCTCTGCCTGTTTCTCTGGCCAGGCAGCCCAAGGTCTCCTGCGGGCGCTGGGAGCAGCTCTGGGCAGGCTCTGCGCATTCCTCAGCCTGGGAAAGCACGCAGGGTCTCTAATGCACTGCAGTGCAGCCCAGTGGCTTCCGATGCGGCTGGCTCAGCCTCCTCTCTGCCATCCCTGCCTGCTTCATTAGCATCAAACTGTTCAAAGGCATGGAAATGAAATTAGATTTAGGTCACAAACATATTTGAAGTGAAAATACCTATTATATTTAAAGCATCTCATTCAGAGAGTCTCTCTGCTGCTGCTTCAGGACGGTTGCACAAACACTCAGTGTCCTTAACATTTTTTAATGATACGGCAGGTGCTGCCGAAATCTGATTTTTGTTTAAATATAAATTAGGTGCCTTCTTCTCTCTCCATCTAATTAATGCTGATAAATAAGAAACCACCTTCTGGCACTCCATTTAGGTATCCTAAAGAGGTAAAAGCTCAGATTTCCCTGGATAACTTTGAAAGAGAGAGAAAATAGCTCTGCCATAGTGATGGGGTTGTAGTCCTGAACAGTCCAGTGCTGCTGGTGCTCTGTTCCTGCTTGCTAAGAGGGAGCAGGCAGGCAGGCAGGCAGGCAGGCAGGACTTCCAGGAGCACCAGCAGTCAGACAGTGCTCCTCATGCTTTGGGCTGCCACTCCTTTTAGCAGTGGCCTCTCCATGACTCTCTGAGCAATCACATCTTAAACAGATTCAAGCATCTGGCTATGCCTCCTATCAAGACTGGATGAGTGATGATCTCCTTGGACTTTGTAAATATTGATCATTTTTCCAGAAGCAGCTCAGCAGACAGAAGATACTCTTCAGCCCCAGCTCCTCTGCTACTGGAGAAGAGGCTGTGCTGTCTCATAGTCAATACACTTTAAACTGGAGTGTATTGTGATGCTTAGGGATCCTTGGCTGTCCATGCTTAGCTCAATACTCCCAAGCCTCCTGTGAACAATCCAGGGGCATGGTTACCTTGCCCAGGGCTTCCAGTGGGATAAGGCAACACCAGTCCTGGGCAGCCCAGAGCAGTTATCTGCAGCACTGTGTGACACTTCCCTCCTCCAAAGGACTGAGCCCACAGCTTCACTTGTTTCTGTTGACACATACCAGATCAGAGCAATGGGGCTGCTGCTGCTTCTCCTCCACAACCCACTCACTGGACAGCCTGCTGGCTTGCCCTGCTGCTGACATGTCTCTCCACCTGCTCAGAAACTTTCCATTTCCAATGAAGGCTTTGTCTTGCATTTGATTCCTGAGACTTTTCTCTCTCTTCCTACAGAGGCACAGTGGGAGACAGAGACCCAAGCACAGCAGGCTGCTTCCCCCCACACCAGGCCCTGTCAGACTTCGCAGCACGCGCTGGCGCTGCAGGCATCGCTGAGGCATGGTGCCTCAGATGTCTCAGGGAGCAGGTGATGCTATTCTTCTGCCCTCTGGGATTCCTCCAGGGGAATCTTCAAATCCCTTGACTCACAGAGCAAGTCTGTTTAATCTGATTCTAAAGGAGGCAGCAAGACAGGAAAAGAAGAGCTGGATGGAGGAAGACAAGTTTTGGAACTTAGAAAAGAATATAACGTTCCTGTTTTCCAGGGTTGACAGTGCACTTTCTCCTATCAATAGCTTAACTGACCTGCTCTGCTCTACTCTGTGCTGGGCCAAGGAGGACATCACACTACTGTGGTCTCCTTGACCTGCAATGGGAGCAAAAACAAAGACAGCTCTTATCCAGCTGGGAGAGGCAACTCTGACTTTCAGGAGGAGGAGCATGAGCAGCCTGAGAAATGCAGTTCTCTTTCCAGCCTGCACTACCTTGGCCTCACACACACTCATAGAATCATAGCATATCCTGAGCTGGAAGGGGCCCACAAGGATAATCAAAGTCCAACTCCTGGTTCTGCACAGGACAGCCCCAAGAATCACACCATGTGCCTGAGCATTGTCCAAACTCTTCTTGAACTCTCAGATATCACTTACCAGGTAAAACACACTTTAGGCTGGAAGCAGACACAGAAACTGGTTTGAATGAGGTTAGAACATTCACCCAGGAAGGCTTCGGCTCTCGACCATGCTCACAGAGTTATTGGGTTAGTGCTAATAGAGCAGATGTGGCCCAGCAGCCAGAGGAAATGGCTGGGGCCTTCCTCAGAATTGATGGCTTTATCCCCTGCATTAGCACCAACCTGCTGGTGGTGGCTGGCTTTGCTTGCAACAGCAGCTGTTCTTTCCCTCCTGGCATGCATACAGAGCTCTGCTGCAACTGCAGCAAAAGAAAAACACTCTCAACTGTACATGATCCTGATCATTCAAGTAGTGCTTGTCATGACAGGGAAGTAGCAGCACAGAGTTGTCCTTTGACAAGAGCCTTAACCAGCTGGAACAGTGCAGAGCAGCCATCCTTTCTGAACAGAAGCTGTTACAGAGGGCAGGAAACAATGAGGGCATCTGCTCATGTACCTTGACCTCTCCAGTCCTCCTGAGGGCTGCATGAGGTGGATGAGATGAAAGACAAGCACTGCAAACCACTGCTCTGATTCCCTCATGTGCAGGACATGCCTTGATGAAGGACAGAAACTACAACTGCTGCACAAACCACAGTTAAACATGTTCATTAAGTAAACCCACTACTTTACAGATGATTATGCTGGACATTTCTTCACTTCAGCTTTAATAAACCTGTAGCTTGATTTTGCAAACTGAAAACTCAGTATAAAGTCCTGGTGAGTTACGAGCATGAGTGGCTGTACTGTATTCAGGATTAGTTCCCAGTTTCTGATTTTGGCTCTTGCACATCTACCTGCTTTTCTCCAGTGCTAACATTGAATTCAGCCAGATTAAATCTAGACAGAATGGGTACAGCACTTTTTTTTTTTCCTGTTAGCTGATCACCGAATCTGACTTATCAGCTCTGTGGCTTGATATCCTGGAAGACTGTCTAGACAGGAATACCACTTTAACTATCACTATGATGATGTCTCTAAGATCTCTACCATCAGCCTACACATCCCTTAAAGAAGGAGGAAAGGAATGGAAGTGCTGATGAAAAAGGGCCTTCCACAGCACTGGTGTAATGAAACATCATTCCTGGTAGTGCATGAGATTCCAGGAGGCATTCAAGGATGCTCTGGCAAGCAGAAGCTATGTGCAGTGGGATTTCAAACAGACCTTCCCTCAAAGGAGAGCTCAAATTGGTGGGTTTTATCTTGAGTCAAGTAAATCAAAATGATAAGCAAACAACATTCCCAACTAGGCACATGACAAACTCAAAGATGACAAAGGGGAGAAATTGCTGTTTATTTATTCCTCTTTAAAACGACTTCAAAGAAAATTTAAAACACCATTTAAAAAAGAGGGGATTCAAAATATCAAGAAGCTGAAAATCAAACCACAAAGGAGGCATTACAAGGTTAGCAGGACATAGAAAGCATAGTTAGTATAAAACAGATTTACAGTCTCACTGAACAGCAAATTCGTGCCGCCCATGTAAATGGAACAGCATGTAATGCTGTCCCTACTCTCTGAAACACAGAATTCTTTCATCATTTTGCTTTATTGTATATAGGAAAACACAACAATTTTTTAAAAAGCGACATTTTCAATTGAAAGAGAAAAACATTAAAAACATTATATTGCTCTGTAGGCACTGATTTTTCCCGTG